GAAAAAGAAGAAGAAGGAGGAGGAGGAGGGGGAGGAGGAGGAGGAGGAAGAGGAGGAGGAGAAGGAGAAGAAGAAAATTTATGAACAATAAAATGCCAATAAATACATATCTATCAATTGAATCAAAAAATCAAAATAAACAAACAAGCAATCTAATGAATAAAATAGAACCAGAGGCATGGAAACATGGAATAGACTGAGGAATCTCAGAGGGAAGTGGGGGAGGGGGTGGGAAGAGATTAACCAAAGATCTTATATGGATACATGCATTACCTATGGACACAGATAGTAGGGTGGTGAAGGTGGGATGGGAACCCGGGAGAGGGGGGCAATGAGGATGGAAAGGGGGACTTCTGTAATACTCTTAACAATAAAGATTATTAAAAATTAATTAATTAAAATATTTTAAAAATTGATGAATGGTTAAAGAAGAAGTGGTGCATATGTACAATAGAATATGACTCAGCCATAAGAAAACAGTGAGATCTTGCCATCTGTGACAACAAGAATGGACTTAAAAGGTATTGTGCTGTGTGAAATAGGTCAGACAGAGGAAGACAAACACCATATGAATTCACTTATGTGTGAAATCTAATGAACAAAATAAATGAAGAAGTAGACCAGAAACAAACTCATAGATACAGAGAACATTTTAATGGTTGCTAGAGGAGGTTGGGGGAATAGGTAAAAAAAGGGGATTCAGAAGTACAAATTGGCAGTTATAGAAATGTCATGGGGATGTCAAGTGCAGTATAGGGAATATAGTCAATAATATTGTAATAACTATGTATGATATCAAATGGGTGCTAGATTTACCAGGATGATCCCTTTGTAAGTTATATAAATGTCTAATCACTGGATTGTACACCTAAAGCTGATATAAATTTGTACATCAACTGTAATTGAAAAATCCTATATAATAAAGAGCTTATATGCAAATGGTCATCATACCCTTACACCATCACGCCTTAACTGCTCAGACACTCAACACTGGGGAGAGGAATGGGGACCAGGCAGGCACAAATGAGCTCACAAGAGAGGAATGGGAACCAGCTAGGCAAAAATGAGCTCTCAAGAGAGGAATGGGGACCACAAGAGAGGAATGGGGACCAGGCAGGCTGCGGCCCGGGAAAGGGACAAGCCGCACACCCCGAGGTCCCGGGTGCCAGCAGCTGAGCCTGCACCTGTGCCCTGGGAGAGGGACAATCTGCACGCCCCAGCCCAGGAGAGGGACAAGCTGCACGTCCCGCCATCCCAGGCACCAGTGGCTGTGGTCCAGGAGAGGGACAAGCTGCCTGCCCTGTGGTCCAGGGCACCAGTGGCTGTGCCTGTGGCCCGGGAGAGGGACAATCTGCCTGCCCCGCAGTCCTGGGCGCCTGTGTCTGTGGCCCAGGCAAAGCCACCTGCCCATAGTGCCCTGTGGCTACAGTTGGCCCAGGCGAAGCCGGCCCGGGTCCTGGGTGCCTACGGCCAGCCAGAGGGAGGAAAGCCCAGGTCTCAGGTGCCTGTGACCAGCCAGAGGAGGGAATCCAGGATCCCGGGTGCGGGGCGAGGTAGAGGTGGTTAGGGGTGATCAGGCCATCAGGGGAGCAGTTAGGGGCAATCAGGCAGGCAGGCAGAGGTGGTTAGGGGTGATCAGGCAGGCAGAGGTGGTTAGGGGTGATCAGGTAGGCAGGCAGGCGAGTGGTTAGGAGCCAGCAGTCCTGGATTATGAGAGGCAATCGGACATCCCCCCAGGGGTCCCAGATTGGAGAGGGTGCAGACCCCCTGTGAATGAATTTTTTGCACCAGGCCTCTAGTAAAAATATATTTTTTAAAAGAGTCACTGGCAGAAAAATGTCACCCTAAGACAGGTGCCAACATCAAGGAAAAGGATAAGAAATTAATACACTAACCCAGAGGTTTCATCTGTTATCTCATATATTCCTCTCTCTGAAGTGGGTATATAAGCCCGGCTTTTAAAATGAGGGCACCAAGTCTCCAAAAGTTGACTTGTCTAAGTTCTTGACCTAGAACATGGCAGAGCCAGTGCTAGGATCCTGGCCCGTTTGAATTTAGAGCCTTAGCCATATCTGTCTCCCTGCAAGGTGAACCCAAACACCATCTAATGAAGAAGATACCATCACAAAAGTAAAGTATAATGTCTCCTGTATTGAGAGATGATAAGGGAACTAAGATTGAGTGTCAACCAAGGCAAATGGTCCAATGCCATGATTAATAATCACAACAAAAACTGCCAGTTATCAAAACAGTCACAGGAATGTAAAGTACAGCATAGAGAATGCAGTCAATAACTTTTTAATATCCATGTATCAGATGGGTACTAGACTTATCTGGGTGATCACTTCATAAATTATATAAATGCTTAATCACTATGCTATGAACCTGAAACTAATATAATATTGTATGTTAACTGTAATTTAAATTTTTTAAAATTTTTTTAAAAAAGAAAAATCTATGCTAAAATATAATCACAATAAGTCACAATTATTTAGCACAGTACTTACTACCTGCCAACTTACAGTTCTAAGTTCTTTACATACATTAATCTATGAAATCCTTATTACCAACCTTTTGTTTTAGGGACTCTTATAATCCCTATCTTAGAGAAAAGGAAACTGAAGTTCAGAGATGCCAGGCCAACTTGCTCAAAGTTAATTTGTCCATAAAGACAAAACCAAGGTTTAAACCCAAGTATTCTCTCTTATGTCCATGCTCTTAACTTCTCTGCCCAGTACAGCCCAGTAAGTGACAAAACCCAGATTTATATGGTTCCAAAGCTCATGTTCTCCCTACTGTGTCACAGGGATTGCAGATCATATAGACAGAAGCAAAATTACAAAGAAGTCTCTCTAGAACCTCCTCTTCCCTTCAAGAGAAAACCAAGTGAGAGACCTGTCACCTAAATCCCAAAAGAGCTATCTATCTAATATAAGACCTTTTTGGCAGGAGTAAAGGGTTGAGTTTTTGCCTTTTACCTGAGTATCAAAGAAAGTAGAACTCAACATCTTTTCACAGAAGAAAGGAGTCAACACAGGATTAAAATTGAACCCTAGTCTGAAGATGGTGAACAACTCGGAGTAATAATCCTGGGCAGCCAGAGTGCATTGAGCACCTAGAAGAGTCAACTTTCAAATAGATGCCAGAAACAGAGGAAGGCTGGGGTTAGAAACAGACTGACTAGCATGTGGAGAAAATAACAGCACAATTGGAAAAAGCAGTGATTTTGAACCAAAACAGTAGAAGCCAATTGGTGAATAACCATTGGGCAGTGCCTCCAAGCTAGTCCTCCAGGTGAACTCACTGGTCCTAAGTTTGTTTATTCTATGTGTCCCCAGCAAGCAGTGTGCAGGTGATATTTGATTGAGTTGTACACTTGAAACTTGTATGGTTTTGCAAACCAATGTCACCCCAATAATTTCAATTAAAAAAAACAATCTGGATTTGACAAGTCTGGAGGCTTAGGGGTCCTCACAGTGAAGAGCTGGCTGGACGAGATAAATAAATCAGTGAAGGAAAGTCAGGGCTGCTTGTGCTTCCTAACAGAAACAAAGGCAAAAAGCAAGACTTCCAGGGTGGCCAGAACAAAAACATTGCCCTCTTATTTTACATCTATAATATGATCTAATTTCTTTTATTTAGTTATTTGATTTCGTTAATAAAATGTACTTTTTAAAAAATAAAGCAGCTCTGAGAAATTTACTCTCCTAAGGCTAAACAGACATAACCATTTGTCAACAATAGCTACTAAAATGACTTTACCTATTGTTGTTCCAATTGCAAACACAACCTTAGTAGGATTATTTAAATTATAATAGGAGTTTTGAAACAATTATTAACTGAATTACCATAATATTTATATATGAAAGGACCTTTTGCCTACTTAATTGCTCAATTAACATTTTTCATATGCTGAAAGAGAATAATAACATTTCACTAATAATATCTGTCTTAAAATGAAATATGATCCAACTAGATTATCAACAAGGCCCAAATTTACTTCACATTCTACTATAAAGCTTGTCAAGTATTTTGTGTGAGTGATTGAAAACCTTCCAAGTTATCCTGTGCCAGGACCAAGTAGAAAGGGCTCACCAAGATGTAAAATAAAAGGCAATACCTCATCTTTTCCCGTGAGCAAAGTGTTTTCCAAAATCACTCCGGTCTCTGAAACTAGCACTTTCACTCGGTATTGGTTAATGATTCCATTTGGTTGTCGTGGTTTCTTCCAAGTAATTCTTATTTGTGTGGCTTCTACTTCTGCAAGCTGTAAATCAAGTACTGCACCTGGAACTAAAAATGTAAATAAAAATAAGGATGTGGAAATTTTAAAATACATTTTCAGATTTTAAAAAATTTTCCAAATTCTTAATGATTTAAGATCTATAAGAAATTCATCTAGAAAACAGGCTAAAGCAATTATTAATTTATAAATAATTAAATATGTATAAGAATCATTAAATACATGGGTATTTAAAGTTAAATTTCTACACATTGTTCTCAAAAATGAAAATAAGAAATAAGATAACTTGGAATAATTTCCCCAAATCAAAATGTCATAATATTTGTTCCAATAATTACATTAATAAAAAATAACTTCCCAGACGAAGCTGTTTTTGGATGATTAATGCACAATAGAAACCTTGAAGGCTTTATACAAATTATAACAACATATCAAAAAACAACATCTAGAAGACTTGGAATACAATGAAATGTAGTTGGTAAATTCAATTAAGCTATCATTTAATTTATTACATAAGATTGTTTGAAGAGTTGATTGATTTTTATCTGCTGGTTTTAAAAATTAATTACATGAGTCTCAAATTTCAGGCACCCTTACATATTTCAGTAAAGAAAAACAGGGACAAACTAATTGGTTTAAGACCAAGCACCAAATACTTAAAACAAGTTCTAGATCAGTGGTTCTCACCCTTCCTAATGCCGTGACCTTTTAATACAGTTCCTCATGTTGTGGTGACCCCCAACCATAAAATTATTTTCGTTGCTACTTCATAACTGTAATTTTGCTACTGTTATGAATCATAATGTAAATATCTGATATGCAGGGTGTATTTTCATTGTTCGCGACCCACAGGTTGAGAACCGCTGTTCTAGATATAAAGTCACCAAAAGTGACACCTAGGAAACCTCCAGTGCAAAGGAGTAATGGATCAAGGACAAACTGCCCTGGGCCTTTGTCCACATTTTTCTTATAACTCAATGTGTGGTTACAAATTCACCCCTCCATCCTGTTTCCTTATCTATAAAACTGGTGTAATTATATCATTCCTGTTCCTATGTAAGGTTTCTGTAAAGAACAAGTGATTCAAGAGAATTTATAAAACATTGGTTCAAGAAAGAAAAAATATGACAGAAAAATTTTATAATCAGGATGTGGTAACATATTAAATTCATTTTCCTAAGCTGAGGTATTTCGCATAAGTAAAGGTTTAGCAAATTTCACTTAGAAGAGAGACACCTTAAAGGCGGGGAGGGGGTATAATATGAATGGAAAGTTACTCTGTTCCCTTTTAAAATAACATAAAGAAATTAAAAATTAATGTCACAACTTCCATAAATATCCTATATAATAAAACCCTAGGTAGCCACCCTCACATCGTCACAAGATGGCCACCACAAGATGGCCAGCAGGGGAGGGCAGTTGTGGGCAATCAGGCCAGCAGGGGAGGGCAGTTGGGGGCAAAAAGGCCAGCAGGGGAGGGCAGTTGGGGAAACCAGGCCTGCAAGTGAGGGCT